AAGTCTGCATGTGGCGGGGTGGGAGGGAGCACCCTCGGACTCACAGGACTCTGCTCTCTTCCAGAATTCACAAGGGAAATTTAGCTCCTCGCCCTCTCAGACCCAGCTAGACATCAGGTAGTTGGTACCAGCACGTGAGAGACTGACTAGTTTCAGAATGCAATAGTGTGTCCCTTCATTTTGGTTGGATACTTTTGACAAAGCGATAGCAGGTATCGGACAAGGTCATTGTTTTCCACACGCTGCTCCCCATCATCCTTCCCCAGGAGCCCCGCATGCTCTGTGTGACTAGTTGTCAGGCCCTGGCCTGTCTTGACTTCAGAATTCAGTTATTTTTCCTTGGAACTCTGAATTTCTGACATTTTCATCATCACAATCTCTGCTTGAAACGTGGAAACGTCATATTAAGTGGAGAAACATGCAGTGGAACCCTGTTCTTGGCTTGTGACCCCTTCTTTCGCTTTCAAAGCCAACCACGTCCAAGATCCCTAAGCCCTATCTGCTTCCCGCTTAACTTACATGGGCCCTTGTGATTGCATTGGGCCCACGCAGATAATCCAGGGTAAGCTCCGCCTCTAAAGGTCCTCAGTCTCCTCCTATCTGCAAAGTCCCTTTTGCCACTAAGGTCACAGATTCTGGACCTTGGACATCTTTGAGGACCATGGTTCTGCCTACACACAGTTAATCTTGCTTGATGGAGAGGCAGCTGGGACTCCCGCCGTCCTGAGCTCCCTGAGCTCTGTCTTTCCTTACCCTCCTCTGTAGCTTATCTTCCAAGCCCTGTGGACCGGACTCTGGCAGAGAGCTGGGAGGGGGAGAAGGGACTCCCTAGTCCTTGGTGGTTTAAAGGAAGTGCAAGAGAAAATGCCCTCCTCTCTGTCCCCGCCTCTCCAGCTAGGATATTGGGCCCCTTTGAGGTGGGGATCAGGAGAAGGAGTTGGCAGCGAGCTTTCCTGCTTTCACAACCCCTCATTGAGTGCTGGCGCTGGGACTCGGGTGTGGAGGAGGGTACCTTCTGTGCCGGGGTCCTTGTGAGCACACGAGGGTGTGAGTGTCCACCTCTCAGACCAGGCTCAGCTGTGGGGGCTGCTGAGCGGTGGCCAGCATGAGGCTTTCCCTGGAGGGTCGGCGCAGAGTGCAATCGTAGCTCAGTGTCAGAGCGGGTGCAACTGCTAATCCCTGGAACCCAGGGAGAAAGGGCCAGGGTTTTTTTAAGGCTTTGTTATTCCATGTTCTCCACAAGCTGAAAAGATTACAACTCTCTTGCCAACGTGATGGCCAATTTTATTCATTTGGACAGTATTAGAAGCAGCTGCTAGCCCAGTACAAATGTGTCCTCTACAGAAAAAGGAAAGTGTAGGGGGTGATTTGTTTCAATTGTTGCTTATTACCTTGTCCTATGAGACTCCTTACCTCTTGCAGGACTTAGGCAGAGTGGTCCGTGGGCACACAGAACCCCCCTTGGAGTTGAGGTGGCTTTTCCCTGGGGCACTGCTATGCAGAGAAGCTTTCAGGCCCCCACCAGAAGGCCCCCCGCCAGAAATTGCTGTCCTGTCCTGTGTCTCCATGACATAATTAATGTGGGCAAATGACATCAGCGTGACTGCAGAGCAAGGGTAGAACCACGTGGGTAAGCAGTGTCTTTAGAAGACGTGCGGGGGGAGCAAGTGGTGTAGTGGTTAAGGCGGTGGACTCCCACACAATCAACCACGGCTCGAGTCCTAAACCCAGTGACTTGAAACTCATGCCTGCTCATGTGCATGTGTGCCAAAAAATCCCAAGAGAAGAATGGAGGAAAAGGGACTGTGGCATGGCCATCCCTCATGGGGGGTGATTTCTCTTTGCTAGTAACCCTGCCCCCACCTCGATGGTCCTGGGAGACCTCGATGTTGCAGGGGGACCCTCAGTGGGACCCAGAGGAGTCAGAGGAAAGGATTTGGCCTGAGCCTCTCTGCCGTCTTCAAGCTGACTGATAGTACCTGTGGGTAGGCTTCCCCAGCAAAGACTGGAACCGGGAACAGGGCCCTGGAGGTGGGGGCCAATTGTCCAGGGTGCCCTGTGATGGTCTCTTCTTGAAGTCTGCCCATGGGACGGGGTTAGCTGTGGATGTGTCTTCTGAGCTGAGGGTCTGGGAGATGCGAGGCCCTCAGTAGAGACCCCTGGAACTTAGGGTTCTATTAGCAACTGGGACTTAGGATTCATCTTCCAACCCTGGGTTTCAGATGAAATCCCAAGCAGTCTCCCCAAACTGAGTTTTCTAGTTTGAAAGTGTCTTACTGTATCTGGCGACCAAAGTTCAAGCTTAAGGCTTATTCAGAGTAAGGGTGGACACAGCCACGGTGGTGAGCTGCTGAGACACTGTGCTCCATAGGTTGAGACCACCTGGGAGGCCTGGGTTCGACTACCAGTCCAACCTAAAGGCTGGCATAATGGCTGGGAGGTGTGAGCTCAAGCCTGGCCTTGGTGGGACTAGCAGTTGGTGTAATGACTATGTCGCTGGACTCCCATGTGGTCGACCACGGTTTAAGTCCCGGACCTGGTGGCTTAAACTCACACCAGGGACACGTATGTACGTGCCCAAGATCCCGAGAGGAAAAGGGATTGCAGCGTGGCCATCCCTCCTGGGGGGTGATTTCTCACTTTCTGTCTCTCTGCCTCTCTCTTTCTGGCGAGCACACGTGCCCTATAGCCCAAAACTCTCCAAGAAATAGCTGGCCTTGGTGGCAGGACAAGACCCTGTCTGAGAACCGGGCATGGTGGTGCATGCCTGTCTCTCCAACTGGGAGGCCAAGGCAAAGATTATCACATAGCAAGACCCTGTCTTTTAGAAACAAGAGAGAGAATAATGATGTTTCCCTCTGACAGGTGGAAAGGCTCAGGTTTTGGTTGTAGTTGAACATTTCCTGACTTTCATGAAGTGGTCATCGTGTCACATATCGTAAGTGGCTCTCCAAGACAGCATTCTCGTCTGGTTTTGTCTGATGCTCATAGAATCAGCCTGCTTCATTGTTTGTTGTTGATTGAAGGTAGAAGTGTCTGGAGGTCTTTAACCGAGAAATTGACTGATGAGCCACCAGGATTTTGCCCTGCAGGTGGTGGTGAGGAGGGGCTTTCGTAGGAAAGATCAGAAGGACATTTGTTCTCCAGAACAAACTGCAGGTGTTCCAGGACCATGGAGTTGGCGCTTCTCACAGCACCGGCTGATGGGACGTCCCTGGCTCGTGGCCTTTGGCTTTTGAGGAAGCTCGTGCTATTTGCTCTTGTAGGAAGGGCTTGTCCCTCTAGCTCATGGCCCCTGATCTCATATATGATCGTCAGTGAGAGGGGTGTCAGAGGCAGAGCTGCTGCAGATGACCCATCCAGTCTCCCGGCCCTCAGCTGGGAAGCAGGGCCCCTGGCCTGCTCCTTCCCAGGGTGTGTCTGGTGAACCATGGATGCGTTGCTCTGACTACACACCTTACAGCTCTCATAGGGCACCTGTGAGTGACCATATAGCTCCTTCCTTCCCTGTAAGTATGAAGCTGAATGTGGCATGGAATGTCCTAGTACTTTTAACATGGGATAACCACTTCTACCTTTGGCCTGCTCACCCTCTCCCCTAACAGTTCCCATGTGCTACCCTCACTCATGTCTCTCACTGAGTCCCTAACATGTCTTGTGGGGCCCATCTGGATGGAGCTAGGATACTGGGGATGCCTGGGGCTGTGTTAAAGTCAGCCAACAATGGTTCCTGGGAAGCGAGCTCCAGTGGGACTTGGTAGGGATTTCCTTGAGCCTGGCCCAGAAGGAGGCCATGCTTGGGGGTGTGAAGGAGTCCCAGCCGCACATTGGTGGGGGCGGGGGGGGCACTGACTTTCTCTGGAAAGCCCCCAGGGTCTAGTGCAGCCTCAGGGTGATGACTGCTCAGTGCCTCCCTCCCTGGGTGCCAGCTCCGCACTTGGTCTATCTTCATTCCTCCCATAATTACCCGTGAGACAGATTCTCTCATGTCTGATTAGAGGAGAGAAGCTGAGCTCTGCGAGATTGAGAGATCCTATTGTGGGAAGGGGAGACCAGGCCCAGGTGGTAGGAGACAGCCATGCACAGAGGATGGAAGGACAAAGAGAAGCTTTAGATCCAGAAGCAAATACCCGGATGGATAGTAATGGCCACATGGTGGAGGCAGTACAGAGGGTTGGGCTGGCTCGAGGGATAGACCAAGAGTGTATTATGGAGACGGATGACTTTGGACAGTGTCATGGTCAGGAAGGAAACCATGCTGGTGCAAGGAAGCAATAAGCCCTGGCCCAGGAGCGGGTCCTAGTGTGAGTCAGTGGCTCAGAGGAGGCTCTGGTCCCGTGGGTGAGACCAACGAGTTAGAAAAAAAGCAGTCATATCTGACCCTCCCAAAGAGTGGGTACAGGAGGGCAGGGGTGGCCTTTTATGACTGAGGTGCAGAAGGTGGCTTGAGGGAGACATAGCACCATGGTCAACTGGACAGTGTGGCCTGACACTGGCCCAAGCTTGAAAACTCTAGAGCCACAGAGGGTGGGAAGCAGCCTGGGAAGGTGATAGAAGGTTCACTGCTCAGAACAGCATGGTGGGGCAGCTGTGACAGGCCCCAGGGGGTACCCGTAAGGCTGAAGAGTGGACAGCAAGTTACAGATCTGACCTCAACCTAAGGGGGTGTCGCCAGCTCCCACCAGAGCTCCTGGGTGGCAGGAGTGACTCGGAAGCATTCGAGCAGATGCCACCACTGCTGGTGAGGGGAGAGGCCCGGTCTGGGCAGGGGCTAGAGCTGATGGCCACCAAGACCCTGTCAACTCTGTGTTTTTGCTTAGATGAGCGTCTCTTTGCCAGCAACATAAACATTCATGAGCTACTAACAACACATCCCTGTGCTTTGTGATTTTTAACATCCCAGTAGTTACTAAAGCCGCTGTTATCTAACCAGGTGACTTGTAACTCTCTGTTGTGCCGATGGCTCAGAAGCCCTAACACGTGCTCCCTGTGCTCTGCAGGCTGTGTCATCACCATTTCTGGACGCATGACCTTCACAAGCAATAAGTCCATGGAGATCGAGGTCTTGGTGGACGCAGACCCCGTGGTGGACAACTCCCAAAAGCGCTACCGGGCTGCCAGCGCCTTCTTCACCTATGTGTCCCTGAGCCAGGAGGGCAAGTCACTGCCTGTGCCTCAGCTTGTGGTGAGTGTGTCCTCAGAGTGGCCACCGTGCCCTGCTGGGCTTCTGGGGGATCCTGTAACTGTGTGGGCCCCGTTGCCTGGCCAGCGATGCCCAGGCCTGGCCACTGGTTGGACCAACGACCTTGGGTTGTGGTACAGATCAGGTCAGGTCACGTGAAGGGACTGGGAAACTGCAGAGAGGCCTCAGGCTCTGCCTGATAGGCTGGGCAGGGCTTCCCCTGCCCCAGGCCACCAGGCTTAGCTCTGCCCTGGATGTCACAGAGCTGCTATCCCCGGGGCTGGCCATGGGTCTCCACCTTGGGCACAGACTCAGGAGGGTGCCAGGCACTGGCAGGGTGAGCACGACAAGAGTGACAGCTTCTGTGTCTCTGATATCGGAGTGGGGCTTCCCTGTCTTGGCCAGCAGCCTCCACCACCTGAAGGTGGTCCCGATTCCTTGTTGAATTAGACCTCGTGTCTGTTACTGAGGGAACCAAGAGGAAACTGGAGCCCAGGGCTGGAGTTGGAGCTTCCTGCCCCTGTGTGGGGTGAGGGGCAGGAACAGAGCACTCGGGCAGGTGAGTCGCGCAGGCCTCTTAGGTGCCTGGCGCTGTTGTGGAAGTGGTGTGGGAGCGATGTAGGCCCCTGCCAGTCTGAGGCCTACTTCCAGAGCAATCGCCGGGCGCCGTGCCACCCCCACGGCGTCTGCTCCCCACGCAGAGCTTGCAAGTGTTCGCTGCTCAGCCTCCAGGAGAAGAGCATGTACTAAAAGCCTCTGTAGCAAATAAACATACTGCATTTAAACCCTCCTTTCCTCCGGAAGGCTGGAATGAGGCTGCGGTTGCTTCCTCCCGTGGCTGAGCAAGGCCACCTGGCTGGCTGGCCGGCCCACGGCAGCTTGTTTCTTGGTGGAGGATGAGGCCCCTCCATGTACTCCTCTGAGCCCTCTCACCCACCCTGCCCCTTCGTGGGCAGAGTCCACACCTCACCAGGGGCCAAGGCTTGGTATGTGAGCCGGCAGGCCCAGCAGGCCCTGACATGGCCGGAGGAGCCTCAGCTCTCTGGGGCCCTCCCCAGCTCCATTTCCCCTCATCCCTCCATGAGCCCCTCCATAAGCACTGTCCATTGTTGGCTGTTTGCTGGGCTTGGGCCCCATAGTGAGTCAGCAGGTCATGGGATCCCTCTGCACACAGTGTGGCCTTTACAAGGAGGAGTGGGTAGCAGGATGGGCTACACTTGTAGGTGAGGGGGGTCCAGATTGAGAAGAAGGAGGAGAGAAGTGGGCTGGGAACCTTCTGGGGTGGGACCGTCTCTCCCAAGGGCTGGTTACCTCTCCAGCCCTCCTCTGCTGAACGCCCTACTGACCCCCCTTCCGGTGCCTGTTTCTTTGCCAGAGGCTGGCTCTGCCACCTGCTCTTTTCTTCTTCATCTCCCACCCACCATCCCCACCTCAAGGTGGGAGCCCACTCAGCACTTCGCAGTGAGCCTGAGGGAGCCTCCTTGGGGTCTGCCTTACCCGAGCTACCCTGCTGCTGGCCTTTGTGACAGTAACAGGCACTGAGCAGGCAACATGACAGTGGGGAGAGGGTGCCCGTCCCACCATGCGGCCTGGTGACCTTGGCTGGGTGCCCTCCACCCCCTCCACCTGGCCCTCAGCCTCGACTTTCTTTGCTCCCAGCCTTCTCTGGCCTTGACCTTCAGCTCTCCGTGTCTCTGGTTCTCCTCCTACCTTGGAAACTTGCCTGCATTTCCTGGCTCCGAGGCTCCGGCTCCCGGTTCTCTCCGTATTGCTCACTGCCCCTCTGTGACATTGTCCGCCGGGCTGCCCCACCTGCTCCACCCCAGATGCTCAGTCCTGCGCCTCACGTGGGCGGATTCCTGGACTCCGGCTTCCCCCGCCTCTT